CACTGTATGTTCTGACTCCTCTCACTCACGTGGTGTTTTTGAAATTCATCCGTGCGTCAGTAGCTTTATTGTTGAGCAGCAGTCCGTTGTGTGACTATGCCATAATTTACTTTTCTATTATACTGCAGATGGGTATTTGGGCTGTTTCCAGTTTTGGCTAAGAATAGCACTTCTAGGAACAATCTTGTAGAAGTGTTTTTGTGAACAAGTGTTTTCCTTTCTCTTGGGTTAATACTCAGGAGTCAGATTTCTGGGTCATGGGGTAGGTAAATGTTTACCTTTCTAAGAAACTGCTAAACCACTTTCTAAAGTGGGGTAGTATTTTTACCTCCCACCAGCAGTGTATGAGTTTCCTTTTATTTCTAAAATCTGGAGAAGTCCAATTCTATCTGAGCAGTAAAGCAAGGAGAATAAGCATCCAAATGAACTGTTACGTCAGCATTAACTGAGGCAGATGTTCTAAAATTCCCAACAGAAGTGGAGATGCTGCATTAAAACGTCCTATGTCTGCTCATAAAAACGTAAATCTACCTTCAGACAAAAGAATCACTTCTCACTAAAAGGAACCAAGGATCCTTGGAGAATGGCTGATTCCAGATTTGGTCCAAGGAAAGAGAAGACTGAGCCTGGAACCTCCTCTCAGAAAACAAGGACAGAGCAGCCAGCACGAAGGGTTCCCACTTCCCACGTTTCATCATAACGAAGCGAAGGGCGGTAGCATCCCCAATGCAGATACCTAATGAAGAACTTGTATCAGGAATAGACATAAAGAACTTCCACAAATGAATCAGAGACCTGCTGGCCTGAGTAGAGCAGAGTGCCCTCCCTGGTGTGGGTGCAGCATCCAATCTGCTAAGGGCACGAATGGGACATGAACAGAATAGAAAGGCAGAAGACCCGTGAACTGGCTCTCGCTGCCCGATTGCTGCGCTGGGACCCGGCTTTCTCTTCTCCTGCCCTCCACACCCCTGGTTCTCAGGTCTTCAGACTCGGACTGGAATCTACATTTTTATTCTCCAGTCTCAGGCTTTTTTAACTACACACCAGCTTTCCTGGGTCCTCAGCTTGCAGACAACAGGTCCTAGGACTTCTCAGCCTCCATAAATGCATGAGCCAACTCCTTGCAATAAATATCTTTATCTAATAGGAGATACAGATACAGATGTATAGACACATGCAGATATCTATTATAGATTTACTGCTTTACTTAGTCCACCAATTCAAATGCTAATTTCTTCAAAGAGCACAGACACAATGTTTTCCCAGCTATCTGGTAGCCCTGCCAAATTAATACATAAAATTGGCTATCACACTAATTTATTTTTACCATTTAGTCTTTTTTTTTAAATGAGCTTCCTCAGGCCAGAGTCCTAGCAGGTAAGAGATCATTGGTCGTTTTGTAGCTGGACTGGAATCTTGAGGTGGAAATAAGGTGTGGGTCGGAGAAATGTGTCTTTGTCTCCACCTTCACTAGCAGTCTTCCATGAATCTTTCAATATTGATAAGCACTTGACAGCTTACAAGTCACTTTGCATCCGTTATCTACCTTGTCTGGCTACTCTCAAGTGGGCATTGCATTTAAAAAATATATATAAATGAGGAAACAGACTTAAAAGGATGAAGTGATTTGTCCCAGATCCCAATTATTTTCCCTCTTTATTTTGTTGGCCCTCTATGATATTCTGTGTTATATATCAAATTAAATGGGGGAGGGTATAGCTCAGTGGTAGAGCCCAAGCTTAGCCTGCACAATGTCCTGGGTTCAATCCCCAGTTCCTCCATTAAAACAAATAAATAAACCTAATTACCTCCCCTCCCCAAACAAAAAAACCCAAAATTAAAATGAACAGATATCTACATATAGATAATACATAATAGGAAGAAACCCACCAAAATTCTGAATCTAATTCTCCCGTGATACTCACATGCTCTTGGGGAAAAGATACAAATAACCACGTTTAACCCCATAGTTTATATTCTAAGTCATATCTATGCTTCTTTCTCAAATGTGTAGCCTACAATTAAATACTGGTGTTTCCTCAGTTTAAAAACTACAGTTCCTTCAAAGCTAGATGAAGCGTGCAGCCTCGTAGCTTCTACCCACCAACTTGGCAACATATCTCCGGGGAACAGTGAGCATCCCTCTGGGTACCTACCTGGTTACAAATGACCTGTGTAAGCCACAAACTTCTAACACAACTTGACCCAACATTTCAGTGTCAGATGGGAGGATGTCGTGGGAAAGGCGGCGCAGTGACTTTCCCTAGTTCTCTTTATACAGCTAAAAACCCTGGGCACGCTTTAGAAAACAACATGAGAAGATTCTAAAAGATGGAGAGAATACAGACTGGCTGTGGACCTTGGGGCCTGAAGCATGACGCTGCACTGATTCCTTCCATTTCTTTTTGCCTCATTTGTCTTAGACCGAGCAGGTAATCCAGAAACACCACCACCAACAAAAAGCCCAAGGAAAGTCTGCTCTTTCTTGCCAAAGGACTAGGTAAAGAACAGCCTAGCAAGACAGAAAATTTTTAGACAGTAATGACCCTACTCCAACCAAAGGCCATGGGAAAACACTGGTCTTATCCACACCACCAAAGGCCAAGTTGGGAGCCTAAATGTCCACCCTCACCGGGCTGTAACAAGGCTCCTTGATGTCCCGCACCCCCAGTGGGGTCAGAGAAGGTCAAGTGGGGGATTTTCAAAGCCAATCCCTCCCCACATCCCATTCCAGCAGCATCACTGGGGACCATGTAGGGAGGCGAGGCTTCCTACCCCACTCAGGGACAAGACATTGCTCCTATTCCTCACCGGTGTGGTGTCAGCGGAGGCCACATGGGGAGCTGGGACTCCCCACCCCAGCCCAGCAGTACTGAGGACCCCTGTCCCACATGTCAGTAGAGGCCAATGATGGACCTGGACTTCCAACACCGACTTGTGATGAGGGAGTGTCCCTCCAACCCCTTCTCCGCCAGGGCAGTGTCAGAGGAATCTTGCCCAAACAGAAGCTACAAGCAGAATTCAGAGCATCATAATATGCAAAATGTCTAGATTTCAACTGAAAATCCCTCATCACACCAAGAACCAGGAAAATCTGCACCTGAGTGAGAAGATGATTCACGGATGCCAACACTGACATGGCACAGATGTAAGAATCACCTGACAAGGACTTTTAAAACCGTCATTAGAACAAAGCCCCACTGAGCAATTACAAACATGCGTGATACAAATTTTAAAAATAATAGAAAGTCTCAGCAGAGGAACAGAATACACAGAGAATCTGATGCCATCAAAAGACACAATAACTGAAATAAAACCCAGTAATGGGCTCAAACAGCAGAACGGAAGGGACAGAGGAATCAGTGAACTTCAAGACAGAACAACAGAAAATACCCAATCGGAACAAAGAGAAAATCGCTGTGAACTGAACTGTCCCCCAAATTCATATGCTGAAGTCCTAACCCCAATGTAACTGAATTCAGAGGTAGGGCTTTTAGGAGTAATCAGGTTAAATGAGGTTGCAAGTAGAGGGTCTTAATCGGATAAGATTGGTAGAATTCTAAGCAGAGGAAGAGAGAATTCTCTCTCTATACCCATGTCACGAGAGGCTTTGAGGACACAGCAAGAAGGCGGCCCTCTGAAAGCCAGGAAGAGAGCTCTTACCAGAAACCAGCTTGGCTGCACCTTGACTTGGCTTCCCAGCCTCCAGAACTGTGAGAATTACATTTCTGTTTTTAAGCCACCCAGTCTGTGGTACAGGCACACCTTGGCGATACTGGAGGTTCAGTTCCAGACAACCACAATAAATCGAATAGCGCAACAACGAGTCACATACATTTTCTGGTTTCCCAGTGGGTAGAAAAGTTATCTTTACACTATACTGTAGTCTCTTAAGTGTGCAATGGTATTATGTCTTAAAAAAGAACATATATACCTTAATTTAAAAATACTTTATTGCTAAAAGATGCTAACATTTAGCGAGTTGTAGTGGTCACTGATCACAGATCTCCATAAAAAATAAAATAATAATGAAAAAGTTTGAAATATTGAGAGAATTACCAAAATATGACACAGAGACATGAAGTGAGCAAATGCTATTGGAAAAATGGCACCAACAGAAGTGCTCAACACAGGGTTGCCACAAACCTTGAATTTGTTAAAACACAGACACACAATACCTACAAAGCACAATAAAGTGAAATGCAATAAAACAAGATCTGCCTGTATTTTGTTTTAGAATCCAAACAGATTAAGACAGATTTTGGTACCTGTAAGTGTGATGCTGTTCTAATACCTAAAAATGTGGAAGCAGCTTTGGAACAGGGTAATGCGTAGAGGTTGGAAGTTCTGAAGTGTGTACTAGAAATGTGGATATTAAAAAGCATTCTGGTGAGGTCTCAGATGGAAATGAAGAACACATTATTGGAAACTGAAGAAAGGGAATGCTTGTTGTAAAGCAGCAAAGAAGGTGGCTCAACTGTGTTCCAGTGTTCGGTGGAAGGCAGAACCTGCGAGTAGTGAAAATGGATATCCAGCAGAGTTCCAGGCAAAGTACTGAGGGCACAGCTTGGGTCCTCCTAACTGCTTACAGCAAAACTTGAGAGGCGAGAGATAAATTGAGGAAGGAACTACTAAACAAAAAGGAACTAGAACTTGGAGATTTAGAAAATTCTGTCCACATTGCAAACCATGAAAAAGCTTGCTCTGGAGAGAACACTGCGGGTGTGGCTGATTTTGATTCATTTTGATCAAGAGATCAGGGTGTGTCTCAGATTTAAGCAGCTGTTCTCAGCAGAAGCCAGGAAGAGAAATGGGACTACACCAGCAGAAGCACCACCAGCTGGGACTAAAGGGGACAGAAAAACCAGACAAATGAAGGAAGACTGCTGGACTTCTTGGCCCCTGCAGGGCCAGCTGGGGGAGCTTATTCAGCTTCAAGAAAAGGAAGAATGACTCTGAAGTCAGTTCAAAGATCTTTAGCCTGCCTTTGATTGCAAAGGATGGGGGCATCACCTCAGTTTCAACAGGCCAGACAGCTTCCAACCAGTTTGGAGGCAGGGCTGCCCAGGGGAGCCTTCTGGAGGGTCTGCTGCACCAGTGGGTCTGGAAGGTGGGGCATCAAGCCAAAGAACCTTAAGACCTCACGCAGTTTGCCTCACAGTTTGCCTTGCTAGGTTTTGGGCTCGCTTGGGACGCATCACCCCTTCCTTCTTCCCTATTTCTTCCCTTTGGAAGCACATGACACGTCTGGTTTCACAGGTTCACAGATGGACAAGAATTTTGCCTCAGGAGAATCTTTGAGTCTCACTCATATCTGAGTTATGTGATGTTTAGATGAGACTTTGGACTTTAGAGCTGATGCTGGAATGAGTTAAGACTTTGGGGGTTGTTGGGATGGAGTGAACGTATTTTGTACATGAGAACATAAATTTGGGGGGACCAGAGGCTAAACACTAAATTGTATTCCACCAAAATTCGTATGTTGAAGTGCTAACTTCCAGTTAGGCTGAATTTGGAGGTAGAGTTTTTGGAGTTAATTAAGGTTCAATGAGGTCATAAGGCTGGATTCCTAACTGGATAGGAATCTCCTTCTTCTTCATAAGAAGAGGGGGAGAGAGAGCTTTCTTTCTCTTTTCACACGCATGCAGCAAGGAAAGGCCATGTGAGGACATGGCAAGAAAGCAGCCATCTGCAAGCCAGGAAGAGAGCCCTCACCAGAGACCAAAGTCGACACCTTGATCTTGGACTTCTAGCCTCCAGAACTGCGAGAAATTAGTTTCTGTTGTTTGAATCACCCAATCGGTGGTATTTTGTTAGGGAAACCCAAGCAGACTAAGAGAAAAATACACTGAAAAATAAATAAACAGACCCTCAAGAACCCAGGAGACTACAGTCAACAGTCTAACATTTGTGAAATCCAGTGAAATCTGGTCTTCAGGAAGGAGAGGGGGGTGGGGGCTCAAAATGTATTCAAAGAAATTGTGGCCAAGAATCCCCCCAATTTGGCAAAAGACATAAATTTAAAAGATTCAAGAAGCTGGGAAAACAGGATAAACTCAAAGAAATGCACACTAAGACATCACAGTCAAACTTGTAAAAACTAAAAACACAGTAGTCAAAAATGTTTGCAAAAATAACCTTCAAAGTTTCAGGGAAAAACAAATTATGTTTAACGACATCACCTCCCTCTATCCAAGAGTAAACTGGTGAAAAGTAAGGATGCCAAAGTCTTTTCATGTTTTTCACTATCTAATATGCCGTGTCAGTTCAGCTCTACAACTAAATTCAGTGATGGTATGAAAAAGTCTTAAGGTCCAAATGACACACAACTGAGGTAAAGCTTTGTCAATAAGCACATTCTCAGCTTAAAGCAGGTTGAAAACATCAGAGGTCCTTTCTGTAGTCGCCCTGTCTAGGCCTTCAGTCTTGACCCCTGGAGTTAATGTGATTCTCAGTACTTCTCAAAAAGTAAGGTCTGAAAGACCAGAAGTGCAGAAGTGGGCTGCCAGGCCAACATTCCTTGGCTTCAAGGTGGAAACACTGCAACTGACCAACAAGTCTGACGTATTTTTCCTGGTTGTATTCATATGGGTAGTTATTTTAATCCACATTTCTTGAGTTCATCTCCCCAGCTCTTTTTTCTCTACCCTTTCTATCTACCTCCTAAATGCTCTTGTATTTAAGACTAAAGATAACTTCCCTTCTGCCACCGCTCTCACCGCTGGATAAACTCACTGTGAATCATCAACCTCTTATTTCTACCCTGGCAACTTCCCTAAAAGAACCATTTATCCTTTTAAGTATTTAGCCCCTTAACATTCTGAGACCACCCAGCCCAGCTAAGATTCCTCTATCGTGGCATATCCTATCTCCTTCCCAAGGACTATGCAGTTTACATACACAATAGGGTGTTGGAAATAATTTTCCCTTCTCCCCAGGGAAATTCAGTGTCCTCTATTAGGACATTAAAAAAAAATGTAAAACCATTCTTTCACACTCTAGGTAAGCTATGTCCCATATCAACAGTGACTTATCAATTGGTATCTTTTTTTGTAACAGTCTTAAATTCCTTTCTCGCCCTCACAGTGTGGATAGTCATTGTTCAATAAATATGTTCGGAATGTACTAGATTTACATGGTCTTTATGCAGTATGAATTCTCTTTTGCTAGCCGAAGGCTGAATGGTCACTAAAGACTTTTCCATACTCCTTGGTCTTCCCTCTAGCATGAGTTTTCTGATGTTGAGAAAGGGACGAACTCTGGCTGAAAGCTCTCCCACATTCCTTACACTTGTAGGGTTTTTCTCCAGTGTGAGTTTTCTGGTGCTTTGTAAGCGACGAGCTCTGGCTGAAAGCTTTTCCACAGTCCTTACACTTGTATGGTTTCTCTCCAGTGTGTGTCCTCTGATGACGAATGAGGGCTGAGCGGTCACTGAAGGCTTTGGCACAATCACTGCATTTGTAGGGTTTCTCCCCAGTGTGAGTCCTCTGGTGCTGAGTCAGGGCTGAACAGTAACCAAAGGCTTTCCCACATTCGTGACACTCATAAGGCCTCTCTCCAGTGTGAGTTCTCTGGTGCTGAATGAGGCCTGAACGATCACTGAACGCCTTCCCGCATTCGTTACACTTGTAGGGTTTCTCTCCAGTGTGAATGACCTGATGCTGGGTAAGGAACGTGCTTTGGCTGAAGGCCTTCCCACACTCATTACACTCATAAGGTTTCTCTCCTGTATGAATTCGCTGGTGCTGGGTGAGGTACGAACTCTGATTAAAGGCCTTCCCACATTCATTGCATTCATAGGGTTTCTCCCCAGTGTGGATTATATGATGCCGAATAAGGGCTGAGCGGTGACTGAAGGCTTTCCCACATTCGTGACATTTGTAAGGTTTCTCTCCCGTGTGAATTCTCTGGTGTAGGGTGAGGTGTATGCTCTGGCTAAAGGCTTTACCACATTCGTTACATTCATAGGGTTTTTCTCCTGTGTGAATCCTCTGGTGCAAGACAAAAGCTGAGTAGTAGCTAAAGGCCTTCTCGCACTCATTACACTTCCAGGGTTTCTTCCCTGCACAAGTTTTCTCATGCCTCGTTAGATCTGAATTTTGTTTCAAGTTCTTTTTAAATGAATCCCAACGATGTAGTCTCTCCCCTTGCTGCTGAACAAGTGATGACCTCCGACTGAAATTTCTTCCAAATCCATCACGCTGGTAACTTCTCTCCCCAGGTTTCTTCTGAGGGGCAACCTCTTGTATTAAGAGTTTCTCGTGGTTTTCTTGCTGACTCTCTGAAGAATCCTCACCTTCACTGGAACCTTCCTTTGGAAATCTTTCAGTTAACACCCCAGGGGCTGAGTCTTCCTCAGAACTGTCCTGCTCTGGGGTGAGTGCCGTGCTTTCTGGTCTTGTCTCCCAGTCTGAAAGAAACACAACTCCAATGTATCGTTTCCTACACTGCGAGGAAAATGACTGCTGTGGTAGGGAAATAATGAAACGAACAAACAAAATAATGCACATAAAGTGACTAATAGATGAGAAACAGGAGGGTCTGGTGGAGACACGACTGGGATCAGTGACGGGTCTCCCAGGGATCGCCTGGTGTCACCACCTCACCAGAGTCTCGCTTCTTCATGCCTTGACAATGACCATCATTAGCCGATCATGCCACCAATCCACTCCTGGTCCACTGTGTCCCAATCACTGCTAACAGACCAACCTTTTAAAACCATACCTCTTACATCAAAATCTGTTGGTTCCACTGTCCCCAAGTGAGACACAAATCCTAGAAGCTAGCATTCGAGGTGGTCCAGATTTACAAATTCAGTTAGTAATTAAAAAGCAACTGACAATCTCTGATCGCTTCACACTCAACAAATTAGAAACAGTAAAACAGAGCCAAGTTAAAAAAAAAAAAGAGTAGTGTGTGGGGAGGGGAAGGTCAAATGGCCACATGCTCAGATTGGTCCCCAACTTGTCACGACACCTGCCCCTGAATTCTAGGCTTCCTGGTAAGATTTGGGGAAGAAATTGTACTGCTTGAAATGTTTAAATATTCCAGGCTTAAATGGTCATTAATATCTATTCCCACCATGACTCTCCATGAAATAGATCAAGACAATACAATGTTTATCATAATCAGAAGCGACTGGGATTTCCAGGACAAACAGGTAGAAATAGATTAAAGGCAAATGGACTTTTAGCTAAGGGGAAGCCCCAAACATTTGCAGAGAACGTATGCTTAGTGGAGGATAGTCAGAGCCTTGCCTACCTGGTGTTAAGGGTTCAAGATGGACAGAGAAGGTAAAATGACTAGGCAGGGGCAGGTACACCAACAAAGGTCCTGAAGACAGAGAAACACAGAACTGGCACAGTGAACAGCTCTCTGTGGGGAATCCGGCAGTGTTACGCTGTCTTAAGTGGACGAGGATAAGACTAAAGAAAGTAAAATTAGCTCATAGTCTAGTGCAGTATCCAGTTGGACAGAAGTAACAGGCTCAAATCCACGACATTTTCTGAAAGAAAAGTTAGCAGGACTTCATCATTAGCTCTCCTTTGCTTACCAGATAGCCAGGTACTGTTCTAAGCATTTCTCTCAGATTATGTCATTTTATCCTCACAACAACCCTATGAGGTAAGCGCTATCATTATCCGCATTTCACAGCTGGGGAATGTGAGCCATAGGGAGGCTAACTCACCTGCTGAAGGTCACAGAGTTAGTAAGTAGCTGAGATTGGCTTTTGAACCTAAGAATGATTGCGAAGTCTACATTCTTAACCACTATGCTATGCTGCCTCTGCTTAGACAAAGAGGAAGGGAAGTGAAGACTCAGAAATGAATTCATAGTCATTGGTCTGAGACAAAAAGTCACACTATCCTGCCGAGATAAAATAACATATATGAAAAAGCCTAGTTTAGAGCCTTGCACCCAGGCAAATTACTAACAAACGTTAAATGTTGGTTTTATTTCACCTTATTTGGGAAAAAGAATTAGTCTGAAAGGGTAGAAAGTATTTACTTTCTAAAAAATAACATTATGACTTTATAACAGATCTACAGTTCACTTTAACCCTTCCAGGGGTCTAGCAAAATCAAGCATTTCAAAGATGCTCTTCCACGGACCATCTGGGTTTTACGTTCACTGTTTCCAACAATCACTCACCTGGACTAGTTGCTTTTGAGACTTCTCTCTCCAGCTCCTCCCCACACTCCAACTGAGAGATTACATCAGGCTTGGAAATTGGCAGCCCTGTTCATGGGGAAAGAAAAAGGAGTCTGGTAAAGGGTCCAGTGTCAGCTCCTTGGTTGCAGGGGAAGACAGTATAAGAGAGAGAGGTTGGCTCTGAATTTCTCTGAAGAACGTAGGAAGACTGATATGGGGTCCATTTGAGTTCAGAACAATTGAATCACTTTTTTTTTCCTCTCTCTATTAAAATAAGCACCCATTTATTAAGAGGTGCTTCCACTAGAACTTTGTCTCAACATCCTTGGTCAGGGAGTAGGGAAGAAGGATGCTATGACCTTGGCAAATTCAATTTTAAAAAGGTGTCCATTTCTAACTCCAGGAGTGTTAAACCTATATTTAGAAACAAGAAGAGCAGAAATTGCCTGTTCTCAGACCTTACACAGGGATTAAAAATCTTTGAATCTAAGCACCTCAGGGCTCCTAGGAACTGAGGAAGCAAAGGTACCACACTGGGTAAATTCACAGGGGGCGGGGACCCATCCTTACCCAGCAAGACCAGATTCCTATGCTTCTCAGGCACATCTCCCTGAGGAGGGTTCAGCTGCCCCCACTGGGTGAGAGCCTCAGCCATATCCCTGATCATCAAGGACTCCTGAAAAACGAAACACATCAGTGCTCACCCAGGGACCTCCTTCCGGAAGGTGCTGGGATGGACTCAAACTGTCGGCACAAGAGAAGGAAGACAGGAAAGGCAGGAAGGTTAGACAAAATGACCTCTAACTTCCCTTCCAACTAAGACCCTCTGGCGCATTTGTAGCCTCAGATGCTCCTTACCTCCACGCATCAGAACCGCGTGTAATCTGCTGTGGGAAGGAAAACTTCAGTGTAAATCTGCAAGTACCAAGTTACTAGTTTACGCACTGACAAGTTATAGAACTATAGATATCCTTACTCTTTAGACACGGGAAAGTAGAGAAAATATAATTATGAATTAAGTATTTTCTTTGTGGTATAGTTTTAAAATAAAAGGGGTTCAAGAAATCCTTCTCTGCACTAAGTATTTTCTCCCAGCACCATTCTCTGCTCTGGATCTGGGTGTGGCCTCTAGTAAGTACAAAGTTGCCTAGGAAAATATGAATTACTTCTCTCTCTAGTTTTCCTTCGTGAATAAAATCAGTCTAATGTATATCAAAAATTAGGAAGTTTCCTATGCATGTCACAGTATATAGATTGATTTGTAAAACAGCATTTCAAGTCCAATTACTATGAAAGTTCCCGGTGTTCTTGCCATTTTTCATAATGGCCCTGATTGGTCTGACCCACCCCCCACCTACTCCCTACCCCACTGAACACTACTCCTCCTGCATTCTCTGTGCTCCAGCTGGTAACTGTCTTTCAGCTGCTTGGAATGTGTGCCACACTCCCTTCTGCCCCTTCACATGTGCTACTTCCTGTTCCTGAATGTTCTCCGCTTGCCCCGTCCTTTCAGCTGTTTTAATCACACTTCAGATCTCAGCTCAGGTGTTACCTCCTCAGGGAAGCTTTCCCTGACCCTCTGGACTGTAGCACCATGTTCCTTCCCTTCTCTCAGGTTACGCACACTTTGAGGGGACTTCGTGATTAACGTTTGTCTGCCCCATTAGACGTTAACCTCCAGAGAGAGCAGAGGCCAGGTCTAAGTTTATTCAGTGAAGCAGCCCTAGTTGCTGGTTCAGAGCTGGAACATTGTAAATATTTGTCAAAGAGACAAACGAAGTAAGGAATACTTGAATAAGAATTGGCAGAAACAAGTTTAAATGGAGTGCTCTATAAAAGTGTTCATGGGAACACAGGTGGGAGGGAAGCATAAGTGTACAGAACATTGAAAACATTGCAGGAGTGTTTCCTTTGGCCTAACCCTGATCTGAATGACAGGCACAAAATTTAGACTGTGCACTAAAATGTAGATAGAGGGAGTAAGTAGAGTGGGTAATGCTCCTTTGAATCTATAGCTGAATCTGTTTACTGCTGATTAATGTCTAATCATTTTTCTAAATTTATAAAAAATTTTTTTCTGTACAACTTCAATTTAATGGAGACATATTAAAATAGACCAGTCCCTGGTATGCCAGTAAATGAACCAGCCATGGCTCTTTGAACCCCGACTTTTGCCATAGCCCCCCAAAGATGTATTTACATATAATGGTTAATTTTGTTTATATTCTGCATTCAAGTATTTAATATATATCATATATATACACACACACATATATGGTATATGATATATATGTGTGTATATATATGATATATATCCTCCAAAAACAAAAGGTAAAATAATCCACTTAATAAAATAAAAGAACTACCTACTCTGAAAATCCTCTACTCAAAATAATTTAACTTTGTTTAATACTTGAAGTATGAAATTACTAACCCTTTTATTTAAGTTATGGTCCCTTAAGGCCACATGCCTCAGGAGTTTCAACACAAGCAATATAATTTGTAGTCTCCTTTTTTTTTTTTTTTTAACAAACAGTGCAGCAGTAACAGATTATCCAGCAGTTCCTTTCAGACTGTAGTTCTGAGAAAAACCTCAGCAATCAAACCCATTCACAGAGCTGCTGCTCAGTGTGTGCGCTGGGGCTGGAGGGCACAGGCAGACCAGTCACACGCTGTCCAGCAGATGCCACTGACCTTCTCTCCCGTATCCCCTTTGAAAGGGATCTACAAATTTAGATCAGAATTGGAACTTGTTTTCTCCCAGCATTTTACGTGGCTTGTCGGTACCTGTGTGCTGTCAGGCAGGCCTGAGGTTGACGAGCACTCCCAGTGCCTTTGCCATGGGGTCTGAAAACCTCTCAGTTTCCTAGGCCAGTCCTACAGAATCATCGTGACTAACCTTCTCTCATCAATCAGTCAGGGCATGATTCGTCTTGCTGGGCCTCTAAAAACTTTCATGGGGCCTTATGTGCCTTTGGAATAAGACTCCGTGTGGATTTTCCCGTGGTCTGGCTACAACACACCTACGCTTCCCTCATCACACTCTGGCTCACTCCACAGTGGCACCCATTCCCCCTGAAGACCTCCGACTCTCTCATCACTTGGAGACTTTTTTGCAAAGTTGTTTTTTCTCTTAGAACACTCCTGTATTCTATTTTCCAACCACCTACTCTCTCTTGGTTTTCAAAGTGCAGCTTTTAACCCAGCATTTTCCCCTCCAAATACTCTAGAGGATGGAAAAACTCTTCTAGGGCTTTTTATGACTTGTCTGTACCAGTAATTTCTGTATTTAAAAAATATATATGTTTCTTCTTGCCATTTAACTATTTTACTTATCTGTATCTTATCTCCTCAGTAAACTTTACAAGGGAGAGCCAACTGGCTTATATTCCTTTGCATCTCACCAGGAGGTCAATTACAGTACTGAAGGGCTGGTAAGTGTGCATATAGCACTAAGTGGATTGAGAACCAATGCTGGGAGGGAAAGGTCTGCATAAGTGAGGAGCAATTACTGTCAGGTTCACCACTCATCATTTTATCGGGCTGAAGTCAGAGGTCTAGGAATCAAGGTTGAGCAAACCCATAACAATACAAGAAACCATATTCATGTTCCGAGAACAGAAAAACAGAAGAAAAGCAAACCCACCTGGGATGCAGGGGTCAGCAGCACAGTGGTGAGGCCCTTTTCTTTTGGGTTTCCAGCATGGGGAAGGTCACTTTTCTGAAGGTCCTCAGAAAGTGACCCTATAAGTGGAAACAGGAGCCACTGTGATTACTCTTACTTGCAGTAAACTCACAGAAACTGCCATACATAGTGACTTGTCACTTAAGAGTCAACACAGGGAACCAAGGGACAATCCCAAAATATCTCTGAATCAAGACAATTGTGATCATGGATGGCTGCCTCAGGTTCCTCCTACTCCACCCTTAAGCTCCAGTAGAACTCTGCTACGAGATCCTGGACACTTAAATTAAATACGTATTTCTATCTCTCATCTGCTGAGTGACAGTCAAAATAATCTCAAAGCCCCCATGTGTCAAATTATGCCTCAGTGGGTTACTCCTGTTCTATTCCAGGCTCACAGGATGAAAGACTTAGTTAAATTCTTTTTGAACACTGGCTTTTCAGATTCAACATTGGCTTGCTCAGAAAAGCAATGGGTCTTGTTGGGGGGAAATGCAGGACTCTAAACAAATCCTGTGAATTTCCGAATCCTCACTTTCCCCATCCGCCAAATGGGCCTATTCGGTAGTCTGCTTCCCCCATAATTGTCTTATGGGGTTCCTGTGAGAACAAAAGAAAATCATTACGAAAAGCCAAATTGTCAGACCTGTTGATTTAGGGGGCAAGGGAGGCATCATTCCAAAGCTCAGCAGGGCAATGCAGGTAGCGGGCTCCCCTTAAACCGCAACGTGAGACTAACTGGTAGGAAAGGGCTCTCTCCCAGAGAAGACGTGATGCTCGTCCTTCCTGAGCCTGCCCCAGCCAGAGGGCAGCCTTTCTCCTTTTTTGTCTCCAGCAGGGGCCGCATCCCTCCGAAATTCTCACCTTTGCCCCCAGTCTCCATAGCGACTCCCTCCCCGCCGGCGCAGGTGACGACTGCGGCGGGAGAAGGGCGCGGTGAACGCGCGAGGGGCCCGGGGATCCACCGCTCGGGTCCACCCAGAGGCCCTGAACGCGAGTGCTACCCTCTCAGGGCAGCCTCGCTCCCCGACACAGGACCCTCCACCCCCGCCCTCCTTCCGGCTACTCAGACTCAGAAGGACACGCGCTCAGCCCTCCTCGACCCCAGGCTCGACCTCACGAACGACACAAAGGAAGCCCTGCCGGCGACAAAGGCATCTAGGAGCCTGCCGGGCCGAGTCGCGCCGCTCCGAGCTCGCGGCTGAACTACAGCTCCCAGAATCCTCCGCGGGGTGCGGTCGCGGTCGCGTCACCGGACGCCGCTTCCCAGAGGACCCCGCGGGGCACGGGCCAGGCGGCCTTCTGCGCCCGGACGTGTCTCCGCAACCGCGCGCGGCGGTGCTGGTCTTCCGGAGAGGTCGGCCCCTTAGAGAGCTTCTTACTGGACACCCAAAGGGCTGCGCCTTCCTCGGTGCCTGCTCTGGGCTCCAGCCCCGGAAGACATGCTTGGCCGCGCCAAACCCAGTCTTACCGGGAAATTCACCCTGGGCAACTAGCTGGCAGAGCGCGGCGCCCCGACCCACCCGGATTCCTGTCTGTCTGCTGTGCTCCCTCGGAGGGGAGGCGCCTGCATCCCAAAGGGTGCTCACCCCCACCCGGTCGCTTCCCCTCTACTGCGTCTCCGCGGCCCATTGCCTGCTGACTGCTCTCACTTCTCATTCTATTCTCAACACAACTGTACCCCTGTCTCAGAACAAAAGCCAAAGTCTTTCCATTGGCCCACAAAGCCCCCCTCAAAATCTTCATAATCTACACCCTCTAGCCCTCTGATCTCATCTCCTACTACTTTCCCCTCATTTGTTCTGCTGCAGCCACAGTGGCATCTTCGTCACTCTTTAGGTGAAGCATGCTTCCACTATGGAATTTTTGTGCTTGCTCATCTGCCTGGGTATCCTTCCCCAGACGTCCACACGCCTGCTCTCTCACCTCCTCCAAGCTTTTGTTCAACTTCCCAGTGAAGCCTTCTCTGCCCACACTTCTTCATTATTCCATAGTGCTTCTTTCTTTCTAACATATGGTTATTACTTTTGTTTATTGGGTGTCTCCCAACACACATACACCCAGAGTTAAAGCTCCACAGGGCAGAGTATCCCCAGGGTATTTACTGGTACTTAGATGATCAATAACTGAATCAGAATATCCTCTGTACTTGCAGAGAAGGTATAAGTGTCTGAAACTAATATGGCCCTCATTGCTTTTCTTGACTTCATTTGTGTGCTTTTAGAAAACTTGGACTTCATTCATAACCCTGATTTTATTTGCATAGGCCCAACTTAAGAATGGACACTAGCAGGTGGCCCAAACACATAAATTGGTGTCGTAAAGCGGTAGAGTGTAGTTGGAATACCTTGGGATTAAAAACCCACAGTTGAGTCCGCATTATCTCTTAAGGATAGATTGTCCTTGAGTTTTTCCTAAATTTAGTGAGAGCCTCTGCTTCCTTATAGTCTGTCTTTGTGTTTGCCACAACATCCTGCCAGGAAAGCATCCCTGCCTTCCTCAGGATGCTACAGTGCCATCAAAGGCCATTAACTTTGACGTGAAAATTGATGTTAAGAGAGGTAAATGAGGAATCCATTAATCACCATGGAAGAGGGAAAAACTGGAAAGAAAAGGAAGGGTTTGGGTGGCAAACGGAGGTTTGAGATTCAACAGAAGAGAGAGGTGGTAAAGGTCTCAGGGAGCCAGAGAGGAAGGCAGACAGGAAATCAGGCTTGGAGTAAACTGGCAAAAGGAGTAAGTCAAGTGTGAGTCTTGTGCCTGGTCATTACCTCTGGGCCTCTGCTCATACCCTCAGCCATTGGCTCCACTTCCCTTCCAGAGCCTGTGAGCCCGCACCACCGTGATAGGACAGTTATCGGCCTGGGTGTGCCTCTCTTATGGTGCCCTTCCAGAAGTCCTAGCCAACGAATTCCAATTATATCAATATACCATTGGCCTGATAACTGATACATCAGTATTTCATTGGCTTGATTAGCCATACTTCACTGCAAGAGAGGCAGAGAGATATAATTGGGCACTCTGCTGCTCAGAGTACTCAGATTTCCTATTGTTACTCTTTTAGAAACATCCTGCCTTTGAGTTGAGTCCTGGCTCTCCAGTCTAGCCTTCTGGTCTAAGACAAATAGAAAACAGAGATATAACTGGGTTAGTGCCAGGGAAAAAGAAAACATTGTATATGTTAAGAAAAGAATGAATGAAAAATACTGCCTGGTTTATTGGTAGCTCCTCAGAAGAAAACCATCAGAGAGGCTGAAAAATGGCAAAAGAAAAAATACTAAAAATGAAAGGTGGGTTAGCCCACTAAACAAGTTTCAGTTATTCGTTCATAGATATTCACTAGGTGCCTAAGTGACAATAAAAGTCACTGGGATTCTAATAAACAGGACAGCCACGGTCCCTGCCATCATGATGCTTATATTCTACTAGACAGAAGACAAAGAATAAATAAGCAAACAAAATATAACAGATGGTGATAAGTACAGTGAAGGAAATAATGATTAGGAGTTGGAGTGGGGGCTTCCTTGGAAGGACCCATAAGAACATCTAGGGAGTGGAGGGGTAGCTCAAGTGGTAGAGTGCATGCCGGGGTTCAATCCCCAGTGCTTCCACTTAAATAAATAAAACCTAATTACCTCCCCCCTCCAAAGAAAAACACATTTTTTTAAATTTAAAAAATGGTCATCTAGAAGTGACATTTAAGCTGAGATCTAAAAGACAAGTTAACCATGTGAACAGCCAAGAGAGGAGCATTTCAGGAAGAGATACATACGCAGAACAACAGGAGAGACACAAAGAAGCAGAGAAATGGCTGGGCAGTTTGTTACGTGTCCATGAGGGTAAATGGCAGAGGATAAGCAGGGAGGGAGGCTACCACCTGAGAAAGTGAGCTGTCCAGGACGGCTGAACGGTGTTTTAGAGGAAGAGGAGGGAGATGCGCTACAGGACAAGCAGGAAAGATAAGAAAATGTTAGCAGAGTTGAAATAAAGATAGGTCTCAACCAGCTCCCCCAAGAAGAACCAAGGCGAAGGGCCCTGCTACGCACAGCTCCACTGAGTCACTCCTCTGATAAATATCCGAGTGTGTGCTACGTACCAGGTTCTGTTCCAGACGCTGGGGAGACAGCAAAAAGCATAAAACAAAGGTCTCTCGTGGAGTTTACATTTTAATTGGACAGACAAAAATAAAATAAAGAAGTAAAGATATAGTATGTTAGGAAGATGGAGCTGGGAAGAGAGCTGGGGAGTGAGGGGCCAGGGAGCGGAAAAGGATGGGTGGAGTTCAGTTTTACTTATTAGGGTGCTCAGGGCAGGCCCGACTGAGAAGGTGGGACATTAGAGCAAGAACTTGAGAAAGGTGATGAGAAAGCCATGTGTCTATCTAGGGGACAGGCTTTCCAGGCAAAGGCCTGGTATGGTAGGGACCCTCTCCACGGGCCTGCGAGACCTCAGGGAGCGGACTCTCAGTGAACCATCCGGCGAAGTCCCACCTGCCCGGTTCACGCGTACCTAGAGCGGCACCCCCTGGGCTTCCTCTCTCTTCAGCTTCCTGAAAATCAAGTTTCCACGGCCCTTCACCTCTCTTCAACTGGAAAATCACGTCAGGTTTAGGAACTAGAAGTCCTGCTCACAAAGAACAAAAGGAGAAATGGCCGTTTAGGATGGAAATTCCTAGCTGTCTCAGGGTTTAGTAACAGCTCCTTGCCCTCTAGGGAGGAAAAGGGAACTATGCAGATGGCTTTTAAAAATTTTAAGTAGTGACATGGATAGAGCCTTGATTTTCTATATTTAGTTTTTAATGCATTATTAAATATTTAAGACATACAGAAGGCATAAAGACTAAAACAAACACCTAAGAACCCATCAGCTAACTTAGGAAATACACATTAACACTAAGTTAACCACTTTATGCACTTAAAAATGTGTTTCATCATCTTTTTTGTCATTTTAAAAATATTTTAAAATATTCCATATTCATTGTAGACAACTGAGATACACAAAAAAGAGAAAAGGAAAAATCACCTGCGAGCCTAGCAGTCAAAGACAATGAGGGGTAACGTTTTGGTGCACATTCTTCCAGACTTTTTCTGTGCATATAGATATATTTAGAAATGTACTAAGTTCTGATGATTTTGTATCCTGCTTTTATCATTTAACAATGTATCATTTCCATCTTTCTAACTCTATAAAAACCGGCAGTGTCAAGGCCCATATTACACTGTAGCCCATTATGGATATACAGTAATTCATTTAGCTAAATGCCTATTATGAAGTATATATATTTTTTTTTCACAATTTTAAGCAAAACTGAGATGAACATTTATCTGACTTTTTTCCCCCTTAGGACAATTCCCAGAAGAGAGGGTACACATTTTCAGTTTTACATAATACAACTTTTTACTTAAAGCTAGGATCTCAGTTAAGTCTTCCTTTATCCTATAGACTTTATGCAAATTAAAAGGGCCATTTCCTCTTGGCCCGGGGTGCCCCTCAGGCTGCAAAATGAGGCTTCACTGACATGACAGCCACATCCTTGGACATTTTGCTGCACTTTCTGGCCCCTGGCCTTAGAAATTTCTGGACTTGGCTGCTTGGACTCGGCAGCCTTCCTTAATGCTGTTCAAACGTCCTGTTATTCTTGCTGTTCTTGGTCCGTTGCTGTGGTCTAGAGAGCCCTGGCATTATCTCAGCCTTCCTTTGTTGTTTTAAAAACTGTCTGGTGGTTCCCTTTCCTGCAGGATTCTGCGTGCTCTCTATACGCTACTTCTCCTTCACTGTTCTTCATGACTATATTTCAAGGTTTTTTGAATCAGTTTTCCATTTTACTTCTTTGTTTTATGAAGGGCAGTTAATTAGGTTTATTTACTTATTTATATTTGGAGGAGGTACTGGGGATTGAACCCAGGACCTTGTGCATGCTAAGCATGTGCTCTACCACTTGAGCTATACCCTCTCGCCTTGAATGAGTTTTGACATCAACAGGAACCTGTTCTTTACCTCCTGGTGAGGAGATAGGATTTCACTCCTTCTTTGCTCAGCAATATATTTTCAAAGCAGCTCCTTGAGGCATCAACCAAATCCCTGTACTAATGCATCACTAGTTAAACAC